AGTTTTAAATTTTCTTTCATTTTTCGTATTAAATTGTAGCTGGCAGCCTGTGTTGTTGTCGATTCTTTAATTGTGGGGAAGGATTTAATACGAAAAATGAAAGAAAATTAAAAATTGTAGTTTTGTCACCGGCTTTTGCAGTCAACTCGTCACAATATGCTGCATATAACAGTTTCAGATTTTACCCGTTTAAAATAAGTAGCCAGCAGCCTACAGAAAACCTCGAAGAACAATTTCATGCTTTTAGAAACGAGGTAGGAGCTTTAGATAAAAGAAAAGAGTCGCCAAAAATTTCGTTCGTATGCTACGAATAAAATTGACGTGAAGCCATGAAACCGAGCAGTATTTTAGTTGATCTCTTTCTAAGAGATGGCGTTGCAATATTTTAAACAAGAACAGATGAATGCGTTTGAGAGAGACCCAACGATATATAATAAGTAGAAGAAATGAATGAAAGATGTCACTATTATCGAATTTGGAATGTAAAAAAGTCTGTACTATCGACCTTAATTAACTTCGACCGTCACTCCAGCATTCTCTTAAGTGGAACGCAGCCTTAGTATTTATATATTTTATTGTTTTTATAAATTAAAGGATTAATTATAATTATGATGACGAAAATAAACGACAATCGATATGATTTGCTTCACATTTGTCGCTGTTTGCTTCAAAATCCTTTCTAGAAGGTAACCACGCAATCATTCGATGCATATAATTCTGCGATTTATTATTAAGAGATGTTTGCACTGCTCTTATGATCGGAGATGATTTGCATAGTAATAATCGAATGCAAGCAGAATCAGAGCCAGTCATTCTCGCTATCAATTGATTTGGTAAATTCGGATTCTTTGCTTGCTCAATTAAATTTTGAACCTATTAAACATAATTAAAAAATTTTATGCTTTATGGATATATTTTAATTGTAAATATATTTCAATTGCACGTATATGTAATTAAAGTAAAAAAGTTGAAATGTTAATATTTTTAATTAATATTAATTTTATATAAATTTTTCATTTATTATTTAAATTAAAATTGAAATCTCTCTTTAATTAGGAGTGTGATTTAATTTTGAGGGTTTTACAAGAGATGACACTAATAATATGATAATGTAGGGAAATGCCAATGTGAGCCAACACTAGTTATTTGTGTGTAATAATACATATATTATAAGAAATGACTCAGGGTTGGGTAAGTTAATTTTTTCTTTTAACTAAGTAAAGTTAAAGTTAATAACCTTGTAAATTTAACTTAGTTAAGATACAAGTTAATGTATAATGAAATTAAATGAATTAAAAGTTAAGTTAATAAAAAAAAGTAATTGAAAAATTAAAAGTTAAATTTCTTTTTATTTTATGACTTCGGAGTTTTACAAATAACAGAAATGACAAACATATACTTCATTTAGAATATACTCTATATTTTATTTAAACTTTTTGTTTATATATACTGTTATATATAGATAT